CCATTTAAAATCAAACCTGTATACGCTATTTATATTTTTATCATCCTCCTCCAGACCATTGATGATTAGAAAAATTTAATGAACACTACATCAACACTCTTGTCAGCTGCAGTTTGCTTATCAAATATAAAGGGGTATTGAAGTTCATGCCACAAATTGTAAAACGACATTTAAGGAATTAATGTTCAGGTATGACTAAAGCACAATATTCATCATCAGATTAAACTTAAGGATCCCATAAGAATAATCTGGCATTACTGCACTAACCTAAATACAAAAAACTTTAAAGAAAAACTGCAAACTGTAAGCTCCCAGAGAATGCGTCACTGGCAAGGTTTACAACGTAGGATTATCTTTCCAGCGAAGACAAGTATTTAATATATAATAAAATGGTCTGTCAAGCGGTGAGGTCACAAACACGCGGTCCGCGAGCCGCATTCGGTCCGCGACTCGCAGACACTCGGCCTGCAGCCCAGTATAACCTTTCGATAGCTGAAGTTTGGACCAGGAAATCTGACTAAATGTTTTGCTGGAAACCTGAAATCCAGTTTGCTGACAATTGTCTACAAACTAGATTTTAGGTTTTCAGTGAGAAATCCAGTTAGATTTCTTGTTCCATAATCCAGTTAGCGAAAAGATATACTGTTTTCTTTCGGTACGGATACGAATTTCGGTACGCCAGTCTCGAACGCCAAAATGGCATGGGCCATGCTGATCTCATCTCGCCAATGCATTTTCAATATAAAAAGTAACTCTGCTCTTTTAACGTTCTACCTTAACATGTTACCTTTGTTTTTGTTTTATCTTTTGCTTCACAGCTTTTTGTAATGTACAATTCCGCTACTAGGATGCAAGCGCGAGCTCTTAGTTGAAGAATGCATCTCGGCTGCGCGAACTCTCGATCAGCAGGACAACTGTCGAAGGTACAGCCAGATACTCGGGATCCTCGCATTGGAAAAAATCGTCAGAATAGCAAGAAATGTCAACTATTTTATCTTTTCTTTCACAGTCACATTGATCTTGGTTAATTTCTGATTGAATTGAGCAACTGGAATGACAGTGTAGTTGCTCTCCTACTCCTTTAAAAATGCAAACACGTTGACGGGAGGTGCCATTTTAATACTTGTCATCACATCAGGTCAGGATCCAAAGTAGTCATATAAACAAATCAAATCTAAAGATGTCACGAAAAAAAGTGTGAGTTTATAAAATGCATGGAGCATGAGGTCTATTCTCTTTAAAACGCTTTAGCCCCCCCCCCCCCAGGCCCCTCCCCCTACCGCTTTACGGAGGCCCTCGACCTTTTCGGTGTGGGCCATCTGACCCCCACACTCAAATGAGTTTGGTATCACTGGTCTAGTGCCTCAAGAAAAATTGCTTTCTTTAAAATTATGTTTAACTTCCTCTCTTTCTTGAGGCTTTCCTTCTGTTTAAGGATGCCGCGAACTTTTTTCGAACCGATGTTTCGATGATCGAATCAAGCGGTTCAAAAGGTTCGAAAGATTTCGAATTTTTCGAACTTTCTATATCGTAATATTCGATGAAAGCCGAATTTTCGACCTTCTTAAACTAAGAAGTTCGGCGCTTTTCGAATTTCGAACTTTGCACGTTCAGAAATGCAATGTTTTTGAAACATTCGAACTTATTACGCCAAAAAATTTGATCTTTTTCAAACTTTTATATTTATTACGCTGTAAAATCGATGCTCGTCGAACTTTCGAACGTTATATACCAATCAATTCGATGATTTTCGAACTTTCGATTTCTTGCACTAAAAGTTCGAAGCTTTTCGAACTTCCTATCCTTAAGAGATCGATAATTTTCTAACTTTCGAACTTATTTATTTAGAGGATTTGAAAATTCGAACTTTTGAATCCTGAAAAGTAAAAAGTTCTACGAAGTTCGAACTTTTAGGGTAAAAGGTCGAGTTCGTCGAACCTCGAAAGACAGGCGGACGGTTTCATTTGAATTCAAGTATTGAGGTATATTCGTAAATTTTTTTTCTGGAATTTTTATGTGCGGTGCCGCGTTCCTTGCGAAAGGCAATGCCGTTTATTTCAATGTTCTGGCATGCTTAGTTTTAGAGAAATAAATTGCCGAAGGAGCAGGAAGGACGACTGGTTTTGGACAATTGTTGAAGCGTGCAACAGCCGAAGCTATTTATGGTAGAGATGTTAAACTTTTTAAGAATGATCTATATGTATAGCCTAGGTAAGTATCGTCTTAAGATATGATTATTGTTTTTCAATGTGAGTTTCTAGGAAATGTCCAAACATTATGCCCTAAACTTCGGCATTTTTTTCGTCTAAATAGTTTGAGGTATCGCGTTTGAGTTAACACCACAGCCAGTACATATTATTGCCATCTGCACAATACAAAATCGTGTATTTATTGTTTTTTTCATGTTGAGAAATCAATTAGCTCATTGGGGAAGATTTCTAATAGTTCAGCACGTCAAGTTCAGCACGTCATTAAAAAAAAACTTTTTTTTTCCCCACGTTTTTGGGACGTGTTCTTCTTAGCCTGTACACATTTTGGTAGGAGAAACTTGTTTCGAAGTTCTGAGCCTTTGAATATGCAAGAATACAACACTTCCTTCGGGTTGTTGATAGATTTTTTTCCAGGTTTTTATCCCCGCATTTATTGTTATGTTTTTTTGTTTATTTTTCTTCTTTTTTTTTTTTACCAATGGCACAGTTATTTAGGTAGAGAAGAGTAGAGCACTATATAGCTCCTTCGGAGCAGAGTAGCGCAATCTAGAACGCCGCCTCTCGGCGACTAGCGGCGAACGCCCGGAGGTTCCAACTGCGGTCAGAAATGCATGAAGAACGTGAGAAAATCGTTGTTTCTTCAATATTGTGGGAATATACGGAATGGCAATCGTTTTTGACATAATAAGGGAACATTTTAGAATAATTTGCGCTAAGTTTTGTGCCCCGCAAGGACCTCACTTTTTTTTAAAAATTGCTTGAGCGGCATCATGCAGCAGACGACACGATGACGTCACACCATTCACGTGACCCGCTCCGGCCAACCCGAAAAGCCCATCTGCGCTGCGAGCAAAAATCGTCTGCTTCAAACGCCATTGCCTTGGAAATTGCCTTCTCAAAATTTGCACAGTCATCCGATATTATTAAAACTTTGACAAAATGTTTAGTGCTTTACTAACTTCACGACAGACTAGTTTTCAAAAGTGTGAACTCGCCGTTCATTTTTTAATCAGCCGTGTTGTATCGATCTCCATGTATTCTCCCATAGGGCAGGCCGCCTCCTGGAACCCTGAGTACCACGTGACTCGCTCCGAGCCGCTCTGTCGGCCATGTTGTCGGCAAAACACGGGGTTCAAAGGATTGCGCTACTCTGCTCCGTAGGAGCTATATAGTGCTCTAGAGAAGACATGGCTCTAAACTTCCGAATTACTAAGCATGTGACAAGTAGTGCCTTCCGACAACGAGTTTCCGACAATGACCATCAACGCGATCTTTTTTGCAGTGAAGAGCGACATTAGCTAAACATATGCATAATACATTTCAGATTACAATAAGCTCGTAAACGCTTTCTTTCCCCGTATTCTTTTCTTTAATATCTCCTTGACCTCGAGCTGTGTCGGCTTTTGTGCTTCTTGCTCAGCGTTTCCTCCGTCCTGGAAAATAAACCTCGAGAACAATTACAAACTCAACTTACTATATGCCAGCGTCACTCGGGTGGCGTTCGATCGGATTACTACCAGCGTGCAAGGGGTGGGGAGGTAGTTTGCCAGGTGGCTTCAAGGTTTTTCTGAGCCTCAACCTCCTGCCTGCCCCCGGCCGTTTCGAACCGGATGACTATCGATGAGTATCGTAAAACAGTGCGCCCGTGTGATCACTACTGCGTAATGCACTGTAAAGACCCCCCCCCCCCCCCTGGGCTGGCGGTCACAATTACTGATCTACGGTCACACGTCACTCTGCACTGGCAAATATTCCAGCACATCCGGGACACTCGTCGTCTCATTTAATTGCAACTTCGCGCAGTCTAAATATCAGACCCGAACTTCTCTAAACCTGATTTCGTGAAAACCAGTGAGGCGTGAAAACGTTATTTGAGTCTGAAACTGTTGAGGAACATGAAAATCGGACCTCGAACTTTAAAAACTTGAATCTAAAAAAAAATTTGAAATTTAAAAAAAAAATTGAATTTAGCCCTAAAAGAGAATCGAAACTTTCGACCTTTTCGAACTTTATGATAAAAGAAGTTCAAAATCTTCTAATTTTTTTAAATGTAAGTCTATAAAAAATCGAAGCGTTTTCGAATTTTATATCCAAAGAATTTCAAAATCTTCGAATCTTCGACCTTCAGATTAAAACAAATTCAAAATCTTCAATTTTTCGAACTTCAGATTTCAAGATATTCAAATTTTTCTAATCTCTTGAATTTCAAATGAGGGAAGTTCAAAATCTTCGAATTTCTCGAACCTCAAGAAAAAATATATTCGAAGTATTCGAACCCGAACTTTTAGAAACCGTGAAAGCTTCGAACTTTTCGATGTCGAAACTCCACGGTGATTGGAAGTTGCGAATTTTTCGAATTCGAACCTTGGGCGGAACGAAAATATCGAAATTTTCCGATTTCGAACTTCAGTTTGGTTCGAAACTTGATATCGAAACCTTTCGATTCGAACCTAGGTTGGTTCGCAACATCCCTACTTCTGTTATCCTTCAAAATCCTATGCCAATGTTCAGAAGAGACAATAAACAAGAATAATGGCCTCCCGGCAGGCGGGATAAAATTTCCGCAGCTTGTGGCGCAAATATTTTATAAAAATCCCTTATAGACAGTGCGAAATTCAATTGTTGTGATTAGCTCGCTGTTACGGACTTTGAGAACAATACGTGTGACAGGCGGTGTCTCTTTCCACAAAAAAAAAATTCAATAAAAATAATGCTTTCTTTACACCGGCGAATCACTATATAAACCCACTCCGAAATCTGTAACTACAGCGTCGACATCTACCGTCCAAGATGAAGCCAACCTTTGCAGCCGTTTGCTTCCTAGCTACAGTTGTGTGCACTATTGCGCTGCTGCCTGGTAAGTCTGTTACTGAAGTTGTTGCATTTTTATGACTCTCCAGTTCTAAGATATTTTGCTTAGGCTCGCAATCTGCATCACAATTCGAGCTCTTACATCGAGCTCTATTGCTTTGTACCGAATCAACGTAAACCAGCGATAAAATTTCGTATGCCTCAGCTGCCAGATTTAGTTGCTTGGCTTTCTGCGAGCACTGGATTTTTCCATGCAAAGGGGCTTGTCGGAAGGGGCATGTCGGAAAAAAACTAAGTTTTTAAGTTTATTAGTATATAATACATACTCGAGTATACAAAATTCTATCCGCCCTAGTAACTGCTTCACTAGTTTGAAACATATGAAACGCTTTTTATTTTATCACGAGAAAGGGTAAACCAATGCAAAAACTGCTTTTATGCAGACTGACAACCCGTCGGTACCCGCAGAAGGCAAAAACTAACGCGAGACCAAAAAATAATAAAAAAGAGTTCATAATTTTATATATTTATTGTTGCATAATAGTTGTCTTTTTTTTTGGGGGGGGGGGGGGGGGGGGGGCGTGTTATTTATTTTTTTGATGCCACCTCATTTTTTGACTGGTGTTCTCCCTGAATTCATTTAATGAAGAGATTTTACAGAATTTAGAACCTTAGTATTTTTTTATAAATGGTTCTATTAAAGGGAATTCAATCAGCGCTTTGTGATAGCATGGTAAAACACTCGTAAATGGTATTAGAATTTACGTAAAGGCCACGATACGAAAACAACAGAAACTGTTTGCCATTCGAAAGTAGAGTGTTTTTCCCCATTCGCAGACAAATTCATTTCGCCATGCCTTATAATACCAATACTATGAAATAGTTTGAATATTACATGAGTGGTGCTCGACATAACATAACGGGGCAGAGCTGATCTCATGACGAGACTTTTTTTTCGTTAGTGCTTCTATCTTAAATTTTTGTATATAATAATTTCATCCATATTCCATATATCACCGAATTTTTCCGCAGAGAAAATCTGCAGAGCACCACATCCCAAGCAACCCTGCGACGCTGGTACCCCGAGGAAATGGTTATTCTACTTTAACAACGGCACTGACCGGTGCACGAAATACAAAGGATGTGGAAAGGGTATGAATGACTTTGGAGCCATAGCTTGCTGCAGAGACTCGTGTCCATACGGTAAGTTTTCTGCATAATCTTTTCTTTTCTTCTATTGAACACGGGCCACAGTCCCGTGTTGAATGCTACGGAGCTTTGTGATGTGTCACGTATTAAACAAGTACCACGCTTACCTGGATTTTAGAACTGCCTTTACGCAGTCTTTTTACAGAAGGGCTATTGTATCAGATTACTAAGCGCAGTCTAAAAAATTACAATCGCTGCATTCGGTTGTATATTTCTTGCTATATCAGTATAGCACTACATCATGAGCCTTCTGATACACCCTGCGAAATGTCTGCGCGTCTACTTACCCTCAAAACACTCAAAGAACCAATCATTGCGATGTAGGAAGTCAGCTCAGCGAATGATGAGGCGGAACATCTGTTTAGACCTAAAAATGAAGTCTCCGCAGTGGCATCAATGCAAAGCGTCATGCTTGCATTGCGTAATGCTACAGGGCAGACTTAATATTAAGGTATAAACAAATGTTCCGCCTCATAATTCGCTGAGCTGATTTCGTAGATCGCAGAGATTGGCTCTTCGAGTGTTGTGCGGGTAAGTGGACGTTAAGGCATTTCTTAGAGTGTATAGGGGAGTAACGAACTTATATTATGAGAGGAGAACGCGAAAACCGCAATCGTTAGAATGTTAAAAGTTTGAGCATATCATTAAAAATAATACTATGTATGGGACATGAAATAACAATCTTACCCTTGCTCACCATGAACTTTGTTTGACCTAACGTCAATACTCTTCTTGCTACTACACTCTAAAAAAAAGTGAGCACCCCCCCTCGTCATCGTGCGTTTTGACGGCTGTAACTACCCCACAGGCTTACTTAACTACCCACTGGGCTCGAACCATTGAGAGTTAGCACCCTGTTGGCAGGTGACAAGCATGGGGTAGTCACGTTTTATAAACTCTTGAATTAAACATTCAAGTGCATGCAGTCGTTCAATAGTAAAAGTCACTTCAAAAATCTCAAAAAGTACTTGAAACTTGTTTTCTTTGTGCGTTGGTTATCATTTATTCAAATTTGAACCGGTCGAAACAAGCGTGTGGCTCAGTTCGCCTAAACTGGCAGAAAACAAACAAGTACAGGCAACCTTGGTAGGCACCTGCTAAAACCCGAGGCAGATAAAACGTAGGGGTGTCGCGAACTTTTGTCGAACCGGATTTTTAGGTCGAACTTTCGGGGTTCGACAAAGTCGAGCCGGTTCGACGAACCTTCGAAACTTTTTACCAGATTCGACCGGTTCGACTTTGCGGACAGTGTGGCCAGACCTTGATAGACGCATGTCTAGGTTTGGAGAATTTATTTTTATGCAAATGGTTATTTTATTTTATGAACAGTTGGAATTAAAAGAAACCACTTCTAATCACTAAAGACATTAATAACTTAATTTTGTTTGTACTGTATTAACTGAAATAACCAACCAGCGGTGCCTTTAATTCATCCATTAGTCATTACCATCCAATCCGGAGCCGACTGGCCAGCCTGTCGCGCATGCGCACACGAGTCGAACCTCAATACAAGGTTCGTCGAAATTTCCACGAAAAGTTCGAAAAAATCGAACCAGGTCGAACTCGAACCTCGGCCGGTTCGCGACAGTCCTAATAAAAAGTATCTCGGTTGTCCTTTTTGGTTCCGTCGCGGGTTTCAGCATGTACAGCAGTAAACAGCTGACAGCTGGCGTCGTGCTCGAGGAATTTAACCAAATCTCTAGAAAAGCACAGGAAGCTACGCACAGGCGTGAGTTGACTTGAATGTTCGCCGGACGAGATACTCTCGTCGTCTTTTATTGTGCGGTTCAGTAAAGAGCGGCTGTCAATAAAGGTGTGATTGGTCAGTTCTGCGTGCAGATCAGTTGCAACTGGCCTCCTCGGTTCCGCCGAACTTGCGCGCCTGTCGTACCCAATTTTTTTGCTTTCAAGTGCAGTGAAGTATGAAGCATCGAACACCACGACTGAGGCCGGACAGGACGAACGTACACAGATATCTGAGATCATGTCCGTGTATTTCACGATTTCTCTGTCTCGAGGTACATGATTCGCCTTCTCTGGTTCATTTGGCACATTTCATCGAGCATACTCGATAAAACAATGCTTCAAACAAGGCCGGTTCAGACACTAGCGTTTGACAGCGTTGCGTCGAGAACCGAAAGCCACTCACCGGCACGTCTGTGCTTCGTATCAAGCGTGGAATCCAATTCAAGGAATCATCTTGGCACGCGATATAAGCAGCAGGGATGTCCTGATTTCTTGCTGCCGCAACGCAGTCAGACGCACGCAGTCAAACACTACTGTCTCAACCAGGATTTAGATAATTTAGCATACGTATTTCGCGTTCCTTGCAGGTGAAGGCACGGGCCCGAAAGCAGCAATTCCGCACTGTCCTCTTGGCGCCAGCGCGAGCGCATAGAACGGATATTTAGCGAAATGAAGAAAACTGAAATATCGCTTCGGGGAGGACCGGCGGACGGGCTTCGCTAAAATCATCTGCGCGTGCTCAGTGTACTCAACTTGTACCCAACCGCCGCTAAAGTCAGTCTGGATATGTAAAAAGAGAAAAGAAAATGCATCAGTGTGTTCAGAAAGTTGTGATTGCAGAAATTGGTTTCGATAATTAATACAATTAATTAAACAGGCTTCTGTATACTTGAAGTATAGGCAAGCGAGAAAACGAAACTGTGCAAAATGTGACGTGTAGCAACTATTCAAATTTATTTATAACCTGCAGTTCACTTTTGCAATGGCCCTACATTAGAGATACGAGCGCTTTCCTAAGGGCAGTAGAGGAAAAGAATATATACGGCTAAATCTTGCACAGTCTTTTCGTATTTATGCAAAACATGACAGTGGCCACCATCCTAATCGGTCACATAAAATACAGCAGTATATAAGCTGGTGGTGTCGACTCAACGTGTGTATAGGAATGTAGAGTGTTAATATGTGATGTTGTATCTTGTGCTGTTTCTGAATGCGTTGATGTATAAAATGCTGTGATGTCTGTATGTCGGTATGAGTGAAGTGCGGCATGGGATATGTACATACGGCATTGTCTGGCGAGGCGCTCAGAGCAAGAATTGCTGGTTTCTTTTTTTCTTTAGTTTGAGCGCTGTCCGTTAGGTGGCGCGTGTCGCCGCCCAATTCAAGGAGTCGCTCGTTTATGTGTCTACTTATTTGAGTGAAAAACATGGAGGCGTTTCATGGCTCCACGTAGCAGCCACAAAGGGTTCGGTCTGGTTCGGTTCTTGGCCTCTCGTCCCAATTGGGATCAGTCCCATAGCCAGTTGAATGGGTGTTCCGTGCGGTGAATAGCGCCAAGTGCGTGCACAGACGCGGTGAGGATTACCAGGGGACTTGAAAGTGGATAACGAATGCTAACAGCTGAGCAGGAGCGTTGAACGATCGGAACCGACGCCGCTTAAATCGGTGATGCTTCGCCTCGCCGCTGTCAACCGAAAACACCGGATCACTTGCGGCAAGCACAGCAAGCAGATGCTCTGTTCAATGAAGACATCATTCCATTTGTCGCTACTTTGTTTCCTTCTTTGAATGTTTTCTGGCCGCGAAGTAAATGCAGCCGGCCTCGCGAAAGCAATCGCGGATAAACCCCCTAAAATGCGCTCGCCCCCCCCCCCCCCCCCCCCCCCCCCCGCCGCCGCCGCCGCCCTCACATCGTCGCCCCTACTCGTATTAGGTGCGGTGCCGGTGCTTCGAAGCGCGTTTTGGAGTGCTTTAGTGCGCACGGAAGGCAGCGAACGGGCGTACGCACTTGAGAATCATATTTTAGCAAAAAGCAGTCCAGCTCGCTAGGCCTTACTCGTATTGCTCCACTGTCGCTTGCCAGCCGCCATGTTGCATTTGGAGGTGCTCACTGTGATTACCTGCTGATTGCGTGCCGTGTGACTGCCCATGGGGTTGTTAGTATAACGAAGGGGGGGGTAGCGATATCTGTGACGGCTTCTGACTACCCCAAGTGTAGTACCCTACGACAACCCTTTTGTTGAGAGTGTAACTCTTTAAATGTACTTAAAGATAAATATGACCAAACCAGGCAATGGGTACGAAACAGTGCATTCTGCAAGCTATAGGAGGGTTATAATGGGTGCCAACTCCCACTGGCATCTTATAACAATAGATGGCAAGATTAATTCAGGAATTGCCCTCATCGGGCCGCAAGTAATCATGTTTAATTTATGTTTCTTTAGTGCAACTCAAGAAATAAAAAGAAAAAGAAAACAGACGCGGTTCGGCGCTGAGCAAAATTTGTTTTCTCGCGCAGGTCAACACAAGCCAAAGCGCGCAGACAAGCCAAAGTCCCCGAAGACCTCAACGCCTACTCTCCCATCATTCGGTAACCATCACCGTCCACTGTCGCGAGCTAAACAAAACCATATACGTCATATGAGCGGCCTGTTATCTGTTTTTTTGTGAATTGCATCATGTAATCTAACGGTCTTGTAGTGAATGTGTGCTGCGTGACTTTCACCAGCAATTACAGACTGCACAATTGGTCTGCGATAGTATTGACACTCCATTTGGCTAGAAAACCATATATATATATATATATATATATATATATATATATATAAACGAATTTGTGCAGATGAATGAACCGTACTTAATCCAATGAATTAAAGAATCTAAGTTTTCAGGAACCCGGCGAAAGCCAAAAAACGGCGGAGCCAGGATTTGAACTCTGGGCCTCCCAATGTCCGGTCGGGTGTGCTAACCACTACACCACTCCACTTTTTTTTAGACGTTTATTTACAGCATGTTTAAAACTATAATTTACATTCTTGCGTTACACTATATACAGGTAGAGCTCTACATTTCCGTTTGATTATATACAAGCAATGCGTTACAATATATACATGCAATGAGTTACTTTTTCGTTACATAAAGCAGTGCGTTTCATTCTCGTCACATTATACAATAGAAATTTACAAAACCACAATGCTCATCTCAAAAAGGAAGGTGTCAATGATACTTTCTAACTCGACAGGTGCTGTCGTCGATTATATAATATCAGGAGAACGACTAAGATTTTTTACGACGTCTTTGCATTCATCATTTTCATCACAGCGTGCCAATATGCCCTGACCTACTTGAATGGCAATATTTTTAAAATTTACCCAGGATGGCTTTGCGACACCTGCTTCATTATCCACTTTACGCGTTTTCCACAAACTGTAAAGACCTAGAACTACTAAAATGTCTTGAATGGTATCGAGGTGTTCGGCGAAATGCAAGTAGCGAAGATTCGTCTCTTCCACTTCAAAGTCTTTTTTCAGCGTCCGTTTGAAAACATCCCAAAAGAATACAGCGTCGACACAAAGAATAAAGGCATGGGTGAACGTTTCGGTAACTTTGCAAAGTCTACAATTAGTGCTACCGTATGTTTCCATCCCGCGTAGGTCGAGCCACTCTTTTACAGTTGTGGTACGAGAGTGAAATCGATAAAAGAAAGTTTTACACTTCGGTAGTATCGGCATTAGTTTAACCCTTTTTAAAACATCCGGTTTGCAATTTAGTGGAGGCCCATAAGGAAAAACACGAAATACAGGATCTGGGAACAATGAAACTAGCAGATGTTTGGTTAGCTTATTTTTAGTGCACGAGGCTAAAAGGCTTGGTCAAACCTTGTTCTTAGAAATTCCAATGTGTCCGCTACTTCCTTATAAAATCCTCTTAATGATATTAAAGCACATGTGGTTGTTGAATCATCACCTGGTGTTGCCATATATTTCGCTAAGAAGAAATGCTTGCACAATTCTAAAAAAGGATGCTGTTCCTGTGCAAAAAATTTCCATCTGGCAGTTAGCTGCCTAACAAAAATATGACCTAAACCAAGTCCTCCATCGTGAATTCCTCGAAACAAGTTTGACCTCCTCATTGGCTGTATGGTGACCTCCAAATAAACGTAGCCAATATTCTGTTCAAAAGATTGACCGTCGTCCTTGAGCAATGTATAACCTGCAGAAGATACATAAGCTTTGACAAGAGGAAAATGTTGCATACAGCAACTCTTCCAAAAGTAGATAGATATCTTAAACTCCACATATTGGCAGCTGTTTTAACATTTTTTTTGTTACTGTGTCCCACATAGGCTTGAGATTGTCCATTGCGCTTAAAGGGACTCCTAAGAGCTTTGGCTTCGTTGTAGACCATTGTATGTCCTCAAATGTAGATGGTGTCGATCCCCACTCCCCGCACCACGAGCCACAGCTTTTCTCCTTGTTTACTGACGGACCAGACACGGCACAGTAGTTAGAAACGCATAGCATCGCGTTTTTTATGCTGGGCTTGTTGGAACATACCAGCACAAGGTCGTCGGCGTAGGCAAGGAGCTTGATTTCGCAGCTGTGAAGGCGAAAACCTTGAACCTTGCTATCGTTTATGATGTATTTGCAGAGGGGCTCGAGATAGAGGTCAAAAAGGAGTGGTGACATAGGACATCCTTGTCTAACCGAGCGTTGTACTTGTATGGATTTTGTAAGAGCTCCGTTAACAATCAATTTCGTTGAGATTCCAGTATAACAAAGTTTGATTCCACGTATGACGTTTTCTCCTACTTGCATATGTGCGAGTACATCGAAAAGAAACGAGTGTTGAACTTGATCGAAGGCCTTAGCCAGATAAAGTTGTAGAATTGCCACTGATTCTTGTGTTCGTTGGCATATCTCTATTATGGACCGGACGATGTGGAGGTTTGTTTGTATATTCCGCCCTTTGATGGAACACGTCTGATGGTCTCCAACCAAAAACGTTATCACGCTTTGTAAGCGTCCGGCGAGTACCCTTGCAAAAATTATATAGTCGTTGTTTAGTAAGCTTATTGGTCGATAACCGTCTACTCGTTGACTCTTGTCTAGATCTCTAGACTTCGGTATCAGTACTGTGTGTGCCTTCCGAAACGATGGAGGTAAGCATTCGTGTCTGTATGATTCCTCAAAAACGTTTAAGAGTATGGGTGATAGTTTCTTGCTCCATTTTTTTGTAAAAACTGGTCGGTAAACCGTCTGGTCCTGGGGCCTTTCGAGACTTCATTTCTCTTCTATTCAGTTCGACTTCATCCACGTCAATAGGAGTATTTAGAATCTTAGTCATATCTGGTTTAAGTTTTGGTAGCTCTAATAAGAGGGAGTCCTTCATTTGGGTTGGTACAGAATGTGGTCTTGCAGCAAATAAATTCTCGTAGTGCGAAACAAAGGCATCTTCTATTTCCTTTTCATCGTTCAGTGCGCGCCCATTTTCGTTTAATGTCATTATCCGTTTCTTCTTGATATATTCTCTCTCCACGTTAAGGAATCTTTTTGTTGGTTGTTCTCCTTCTATTAATTGCAAAGTACGCGTTCTTACACCAGCACCTTCATAGCGTATTTTATCGTGTTCTTTAATTTGTGTTCTTATATTCTTTACTTCATCCTTGTATTTTCCAGGCTCTTGGCACTCCAAACGGTACAGGTAAAGGATGTCATTGTTCAGACGCCTTTCTCTTATTTTTTCCTGATACGCAACAATTGATGATATTTCTATTGCTATTTTTCTTACCTTCAATTTAAAAGATTCCCATTTTTGACACCAGCCTTCTTTGGTGCATTCAAGTATCTCTAGTGCTGATTCTACACCTTTTATAAAGTCATCATTTTCAAGGAGCCTTTCGTTTAGTTTCCAAAGGGACCAAGACGGTTGTTTTCTATTTCTCTGGGGTGTTTTTATACCTACACGCACTTGCACCATGCAGTGATCAGAGAAGAATGCAGGGATCACGTTGTAGTTACTTAGTGCAGTATTAACTGACCCAGATACATATATTCTATCTAAACGTGCATGGGAAGACCCTTGAAAGTGTGTAAAACAGAGTGCGTGATCTGTTGCTGAATCTATCAGGTCGCAGTCTTGAACCAATGCTTTTAAGGCTTCAGCGCTTGGATCTACGATGGTTAGGGATGGAACTCTATCTTTCTTATTTATTACACAATTGAAGTCCCCAAGCAGAATCACGTTAAATCTTGTGTTGGCGTGAATTCTAGCCTGACAGAAAAGGCTTTCCCTTTGCGCTGCGTTATTGTATGCATACACAACAATTATGCGCCAGGGCTGATCTTGCAAAATAATGTTAGCTACCATTAGACGACCACTGTCAGCCCCTTCGAGAATACTACACATTTTATACTTTAGTTCTTTCTTAAACAGAATTGCACACCCTGCAGAGTAGTCAACAGCAGGGCAGTGAAACAGATCGTAGAAATCCTTCCACAAACTGCATCCCGAAAATAAGGTGTTTTGTTCGGATACTTTTGTTTCCTGCAGGGTCACAATGTCGCTGTCATATTTTTGTACAAAACGAAAAAGTTGGTATTGTTTTTTCCTCGAATTTATCCCTCGCACATTTATGGTGGAAATTGTGAAGGGACTTATCTGGGTGGTCGTGAGGGGATTCCTATACATGCTTTTGGTCAAGTTCGGAAGCTGCCGGGGAGGTTGTTTTTCGGTCTTTGAATTTGGGTTTCCCCCGCTGTTCTTTGGGTTCCAGCCGTATTTGCGGCTCGGTGGAGTCCAGCAGGATATTCATTGCTTCCGGTTCTCCCGTCAAATTCTCGCTGGTGTCAACCTTGGCTCTTTTGCAATGGTGTTCTTCCTTCTTGGTCTCTGCCACCTTCGTGTTTTGCAGGGATTGCTTTCGCAGCCCTTTCCCTTTGCTTGCAGTAGCTTCTCTAGGTTCTGGTTGCGGTGTTGGGGAGGTGCTTTCGGTGCACCTTTGTTCCTCCGTTGGGCTTTCGTTGAGGCTGCAAGGAGGGTCGTTGTTTTGGATTGCTGGGTCATCGCCCGTTTGCGTCCGTTCGACTTCCTCATTGAACATTTCCTCCACGTCCATGATATGTTCGCTATGGTCAGCGTCCGGTGTTGCGTTTCCCTGGAGCTTTGAGGTGTACGTCACTACGCATTCGTCATTTGTGTGACCAAATCTCCAGCACTGCGTGCAGCGAGGAGTGCAACATTGCCGGCGGATGTGCCCGATTCCTTTGCACCTCAGGCAGAGCGGTGGCCTTCCAGGGATGACGACGAGCGTATTGGACCCGTACACGTTCAAGAGGTGTGGAATCTTGTCCACCGTGAGGTCCTGCTTCAGGACGAGGGTCACTTCTCGGGTTGTTGTTTGGAGATCCTCGAGTCCTGAAAATCTCCACGTTTCTCTTCTCATGTCCTTGACTGTCCCGAACGGCTCTAGAACCTTCCTCACTTCGGAGTCTGGCATAGGAATGGGCAGCCATAAAAGCTTCATCTTGATCTCTTCTTTGCATGGATCGATTATTATGCACTTTTTTCCTTTGATAATGAACTCTTTGTAAGCTTTGATCTTGAGCGTTGCTGCAGCATTTCCGAAGGTCACCATCCATACGTGGCTCATTTGATACTGGCCTAAGCCC